GCTCGTTTTCGGCGCCGAGAAGAAGCTATTTGCATCTCCACGTGTGTCGCGCACAGGCTGCATGCACTTGGTCGTGGCGTCACTGAGCTTTTCTTTTACATGAAAAACGCTTTCGGCTGCCCGCACTTTTTCGAGCTTGCGCAGTACGCTCGGCAGGCTTTCGCTGACAGGCCCTTTGAGCAAAAGGTGTTTCTCGATGAACTTCAACATTCATTCGTTCGTGTTGACACGGCTGATCAGGGAAGCGTTTGGCTTGCATTGGGATCTGGAGTCCGCATGGGCCACCGCGCTGGTCCGCACTGGTTCTTGGGCGTCTTCCACGGCAAGATCGATTTGTATTTAGCGAGTCTCGGTGACATGCGCATCCATGCATGTCTGTCTCTCTTTGGAGTTCATCGCCATACTGATGTGGGCACTTGCACTTTCGCGGACGATAACGAAGACGACTCTCATTGCTCATACTTTTCCATCTTGTTTGCGAACTAGCTTGGTTGCCTCCCAACGGCTTGATGAAGCTTTGGCTGGTGGTCGGCCAGGCATGCCTTCCATCGTGCAACATCTGGGTAAACTCGAAGCCGTTGTATCATTCTCTGGCCCTGGCTCTCGTGCTTCTTATCGCCGTGCTTATGCTCCTGGTTGTGGTATTCCTGGGCGTGTCGTACCTGTCGCGCGACATCTTGGCGGCTGGCGTAAACTCCGGGGCAGCTTCACCAGGCCCATACCCGCAGAGAGTTTGCAGTACTTGTTTTTCGCTCTTTGGTTATTGCGACGACATTGTCTGGTGCTGTTGCTTACGTTGCTTCTCGCATTGACCTCACTCAGATCGACAAGGCATGGAGCGATTCAGGGCGAAGGACCATCATGGCGCGACGTCCTCGTCTCTCTCATGGCCATATTGTTGCGCCTTCTACTAGTGAGGTTCGCTGGGAGCTGAAGTTCGGTTCTTCTGAATTGGCGCTTCGCGTGGAGCGCCTGAGATGGTATCAGTCTATGTCCAAGACTCCAGGGATCTTTACCCAGTGGATCTGCGCAGTATTTGGCGAAATTCTTTTGGGCACGCGGTGGTGGACAGTGAAGGGAGGCTATTACCCGACGCCAAGCCGTGGGCACGGCAAGTGTCAGAAGACTTTGGAACTTTAGCTGTGCACGATGATTTTGCAGAGGTCGCTGCTATTTGTGCGGCCGCGCCTGCCAGGGTATTTTTCGATCTTGAGCTGGCCGTGCGTTCTGCTACTCGCGATCTGCTACTCGCGCGGTTGCGATTCCGTCTCCAGGAGTGCAGGTGCAAGGTGGTGGACCAGTTTCAGCGTTACCAGCCGCAGCGTTGATGGAGGAGCCGTTATTTTTCTGCGATATCTTGAATCCCAATGGGGACAGATGCGGACGGGGGTTTGCTTCTATCGGTGCTTTGAAGGCCCATCAGCTTCAGAGTTCTTTGGAAGGGCATGGGATAGCACCATTGGCATCTAAGGCTACTGTCACGAACCAGAGTTGCATATGCCGTCACGTCTTTGCTTCTCGCGCGCATGCTAGAGAACACCTCACGAGCTCCGTCAGCCGAGGTTTTTGCACTGGCTCTGGAAGCGTAGTTCAACGTGTTGTCAATACCCCTGATGACCTAAATTGTCCTCTGTGTGATCACGATGAATTTTCTTGTCTTGATTCTTTGCATCGCCATCTACACCATTGCCATTTAGCCTCAATACGCGTTTCAGTATCCAGCAGCAGCTTTCTGCCATACGTGATCGAGCTGCTGCTGCCCGCGAGGCGGCTGCACGCAATCGGCCCGATGAGCGACGGATACAAGAACTTCCTGCGGGCTCCAGAGGCGAAGTCTGGGGACAAGCGTCAGAAGAAGGAGAACTCCGAGGGGAACGAGAGCACCAAGCGGGACGAGCTCATCTTGCTTCCGCAGGTGGCCGCGGAGAGCCGCGCGCACGCAGCGTCCCTGTATCGTACTTGGTTGGTTCCGGGCGAGGTGGGGGAGCAGTTCTTCGACAACATGAAGCAGGCGGTCGCCACTTACGAGAAAGCCGCGAAGGGCAAGAAGGGCCACAAGACGGGGATCCCGTGCCAGCACGCCCTGATCACAGCGCTTCTTACGGCCCAGACCCACTTCACCGACCAGAACAATGAGTACAAGATCATCGAGGAGACGCTGATGAGGTTCCCGGAACACGTGAAACTCGGGAGGAACGTCTTGGAATTCCGAGGCTACGAAACGCGGGAGAAGGGCCATCGTTTCCGGTACCGTCTCGAAGAGGACGTACCCGTTCAGCTCAAGGAGGCGGTGGGCATCGTGACCCAGATTTGGAAGGGCGCCAGCGGCGAGGAGATTCTCGGGCAGGCCCCCGCAAACAAGCGTGAGAGCAACCTCCAGGGCCGCATCAAGCGCATGAAGGATTGAGAGCACGCGTGCTCAGGTGGTTCGGCACAGTGCGGTGCGTACCGCCCGGTTTGGCCATTGCCTGGCCCGGCGGATTCGCCTTTCCGTGTCCCTGGTCCTGGGGAAGGGGACCTCCGTACGTGTCACCCCCCAGCACGTGAGGAGCCATTCTTCTGCTAAATCCAGTTGACTGCGTCGCCCACGATGCATCCAAGTGCTATGCTGGCTGCCCTGCAGTGTCGATTCATATTTTCCCACGATCTGATTAGGGATGCGTCTCTGGGGTGTGTCCTACCTACCTACCCCCCCCGTTCCTCTTTCCTCCCGTCATCCTCATCATCGTCATCATCATCATCATCTTCACAATCAGCGTCATCAGCATCATCATCATGATCAATATCATCATCACCGTCATCATTATACATCATCATTATCAACATCATCATCAGAATCATCATCATCATCATCATCATCACATCATCATCATCGTCATCATCATCATCATAATCATCATCATCATCATCACCAT